GGGGAGATAAAATGGAAAAATAAAAGGAAGTTCTGGACTTTCACACTACAGAATGCATTACGATTTCAGCTGGATTCCTTCGTGTTTCTTAGAGCTGTTCGATGCTTTGTTTCTAAGGGGCATTTGATCTGGAAGGCATTGATTGGTGCCACATTTGACTAGGGAACACAGCCCCCTGCTGGGTATGCAGCATAGACAGACACTGCGTGCCGATCACCCGATTGTGCTCATGTCAGATTTCTACAGCAATGATTCTCCCTGACTTTCACACTTCCCCACTAAGTTTCTGAGGTGGAATTGAGGACTTCCTTTCCAAAGGAAGTTTTCAAAAACTGAGAATTTTGAAAAGTTTACTTTCCTGGACTTGCAGACAAACCCCAAAATGAATGGAAGACGTTAGTGAAGCGCAAAATTGAGGACGTCATCAAAGGCCTGACCTTGAGGAGGTTTTATATATAAAATGGTCCATCTCATTTGCCTTTGATCACTACAGAACCTGCAATGAAAGACCTCCAATCGCTGGTGTGGGTTAGCGTGCTCGTCTGCCATACTGCACTGATCCTATTGTACGCCTACGGTTTGGCAAGGTGATCTAATCTACCACTACTTTGAGACTTCGGGAATCATAAAATAGCTACTGAAATCTCTAAAAATTGTAATATTTTAAATCATCACAACCTTCTGCATGCCACGATGACACACCTAAGGCCAACTTAAACAGCGAGACAATGCCCTGTCACGTGAGTGCCACAGTGGGCGGAGCAGTGTCGGCTCGGGAGGTGGCACCACTTGTCATAAGGCATTATGACAGACGATTAACCTTGCTCACGAGCCTTGACTGAATTGGAAGTAAATGTGGTCCTCGGACTGTGAAGCTCGAGCCTTAGTTTCTCCAAAAAGCCGCGTACGTTTTCCATTTGGAGGGCTAGCGGGACTTCCTTGTGCAACTGGTAGACTACACACACAGGTAATTTAAGAATGCCTACAGTTAGGACGTGCGCTGAGGTTAAAGCATAATTGGAATTCTTCCCCAAAGGATTCTGTACACACACAAAAAGCTTACCGTGAACAAGACAGTGGCTCGGAAACCACTTTTCTGAATCTATTTCCCATACAAAATCATTTCAAGCTACTAGATTCTTGTACAGTACTCTATTTAAACAAGAATGAATAAAACAGTAAGCATGTGAAAACTGCAACACCACAAAGATTGAGCCATTTTACGAGTGTAATCAAACATTAGAACAATCTTGCGACGGGCAAGCACACAGTTCCAAAGACTTGATCACGGGCGGCGGGCCTAACTGATGTCAACTACGGGTGGGCTGCACACTGTGAGCGGCACAGGGACCATGTGCAGACAATTCAGTAGCAGAATGGCACTTGGTTTGCTCTTCATAGAAACAACAGAGATGCAAGTGACAATTTAGAGACAGACAATGGCCTTATTTGCATGCTGAAGATCTGGTTGTGTCCCTCTGGTCCACACACTGTTCATTGTGCAATCTGTCGATGAGTAAACAAAGAGTGCAGGATTCCTCTTGGGGTCGAGGCCCCTTGGTCTAACCAAAGTCAATTCTTGGTCGATACTGCAATACCATGGGGTATGACTATAAAACAAAAACAGACGATCAATATAAGACCATGTTTATATACAAATGATAAAGACAGTTCATATGAAGAAAAAGTTTTAAAATGCTAGGAGATTAGAATTTATAGTATTTCCTGGTATTCAGGATTGTGACAGACTGTAATTACCATGAAAACGCTCTTTTAACTCTATTTTTTCTCTCTCTGGAATTAATCAAGTTTTCCATAATAGGCAGCAGAGGTCAAATTCTAAGGCCTGGGACCATCACACCCTTTCCCAAATGCAAACTAAAGTAGTACGACTCTTGGGGCGAGGGGTGGGGATCTGAAGCTACCAGACCTGCTGGAAGGTAGCAACCCCTCAGGGGGTAGTGACGGCACGGCCACAGCACTGCTGCCGGTGAGAACCGGCCGAGTTACAAGCCGGCAAAGAGACCAAACTATGGGAAACCCGGGTCGTTTTCACAGGCCAGATTTTTCACAGGGTTGATCTTATTTTCTTTGTAATTAAAAAATGTGTAATGGCTCTTAAAAAACAACTATTGAAAAACAAACAGCTAATTGTTATATGAGACACATAGGTCCCTGGCTCCTTTCGATAACCAGTTGACAGGAAGAAAGGCTGCCACACAGTACTCAGGAAAAACCACTCCCTGCCCCATAGAAGCACAGCACTACCTCTGCTCCTGGCTTTCACCTTGCCCGTTCAAGGTGAAAGGACAGAGACTGATCACCAGCGTTCTGAGAACCAATGGTTTCATTTTTCTTAAAGACAGACTCCCCTTTCCCAAACAAAACTTTTGCTAAACCGAGGAAGAGTCTGTGATGCGCACTGACTAGTACTGAAAAGCCACTGTCGCCGAGTCGGTTCTGACGCACTGCAACCATCTGTAGGGTCTCTGAGGATCTACGTGTGTATGGGAGCGGAGAGCCTCCTATTTCTCCTGTACATCGGAGCACTAGTGGAGTGGAAGTCTGAGTTTGAGGGAAGAAGTTACGTTAAAAAACTACAGTCTCGGAAACCCGCAGGGGTAGTTCTGCCCTATCTCATAGGGTTGCTATGAGTCAGAACTGACTCTGGTGGTGAGGCTTCAGTTTCTCCTGTAGAGGGAATGGTGAGTTTGAATGGCTGACCTTGTGGCTAGCAGTCCAACATTGGGGGGATGCTAAGTGGCTGGTGCAAAGAATGGCATATAGCTCGCTCCCTTGCTACCGGCCTGTCTCAATGTTTAGATGAAGGACCACATGAGGTTCTAGCACAGCTGAGCCGAGAAGTACTGAGAAGATGCAAAGCTGGATGGGGTCTTTACCGCGGGGTTCTGGATGGGGCTGGTGGGCAGGAAAGGCAGTCCCCTCAGTCTGAATGCACCAGCTCAAAGAGCCTCCACCATGTTCAGAGAGATGGAGTAAAAGTACCTTGGTCTCTTAAGGCTTCCTGGGTCCAAAACGACTTTGTTTTTAATTCCAATTAACTGTTTTTATTTCAAACATCATGCTGTCCCCTTGGAATCAGGGAGCAGGGCACAAAGATGTGCCCTTTGCAAAGCTCCCTCAGTGGCTCTCAAGTTCAGCCAGATTTGGAGACCACCAGCCTAGACAGCCTACCCTAACTTTACTGAGGTCCGTTCCACCCACTCCAATGCCCTGCTGGTCCATTGATGATTTCCGTTCGCTTTCTGCAAATAACCAAGTCACTCCGAGAAGAGTAGCGCCGCAGTACACAGCAGCACCCATCAGTACCAGTTCGTCCAGGGATGAAGGACGAGAAGGAAGTGAGACATCTAGGTTCACATTACCATTTTTTTGGGAATTTTATCGGTGTCTGGTTGAGAAATGTTTTGTCCTCCCCATCAAATCATCCTCTGTTAGTTTGTGCTATGACAATATCAGAGGTTTAATAATTTTTTTGAAATTCATAACACTGGGAATTTTAAAGCGAATATCTTAGGTTCTAGCATTTACGTTTCACTGTGCTTTCGAAAGTGAAATGGTATCATGCTGGCTTCTGTGGTAAAACAGGGACCGTTGCTACTTCTTGGCATAAAATCACTGCACTGACTGGGTCTGCCCATGTTAGAGTTTTCAGTCCTCGGTCTCCTCATGCACACATTCAAACGTGAACATTTTATAAAATGGCAAAGCTAACTTTCATTTTTCCTGCATACAAAGTATATTCTCTTATCCTTTGAGTCAACAGGTTACTGTGAGATTTGTGAAATATGAAAAAGCATAAAGATTAAAATGAAAATTATTTAAATCTGACTATTTCAAAATAATCACCCTAGACCTTGTAGTCACTGTCCTTCGAGTCTCAGGAATATGCTTAACAACTGGAATCATGCTAAACATTATTTTGTTATTTTTTTCTGACTGAAAATTTCTCTTGCTGCCCATTTGCATTTATTCTAGCATAAATTAACCTTGACCCAATCACTCATGTTTCATCTCCCAGGACAGGCTATTAGAAGTGTAATTGCTGGTTCAAACAGCATACACATTTATTTTAGATATGTTTTGATGTATACTGTCGCACGGGCTTTAATGACAATGTTCCAATTTTTACATTTCCAGAAGAAATGAGTAGCCATTTCCCTAAAGCTTCATTGATAATAAGCAATGTCTTTGTAAAACAGCATTTTCTCTCTCATTTCATTGGCTTCTACAATAAGCTAATCATTTAAGTATGCTTATTAGCCAATTGTTTCCTTTATTTGTGACTTTATAGATTTACTCAAATTCTTTATGTATTAAGGGCATTAACTCTTTGTGCTATATATTGCAAATATTTCCTTGGTTATGGTATTTTCAATGCATATTTCAATATTAATAGTCAACAGAATCTGTCTTTAGTTCTTATTCCTTTGAAAGTATAATAAGAAAGGCCATACCCACTCTTGACATCAGCTATTCAACTGTATTTTCTTGAGGAACTGGTATATAATGTGAGTTATGGAATGAATGCCCATCCACCCCTAGCCAATAGTCTCATGCAAGTAACTGAAAACAAGCCCCACAAGCAACTGTACCTCCAAACCCGTTTTCACCTGCACAACCACCCTGCATTCTCTCTGCTCCAGCCCTGCGATCCTCAAGGGAGAGACACCTGAGCGAGGTCCTCTCCTCCCACTGCAGGCCCGGCATGGTGTTCCCTGGGCTGGGAGGGCTCTATCCCAGACGTTCACGTGGCGCCCACCCTCTCTCATTTTCTTTTGAGCAAGGCCCTCACCTCAGAGAGATCTTCCCTTGGCCATCCATCGTGCAGAAAATTTTCTATTTACCTTGCTTTATTTTTTCTTCTAACACCCTATATATTTTACTCATTTAATTTTCATCTGCTACTTTTACTAGGACCATACGCTCCATGAGGATGGGATTTCTATTCATTTTTTATTCTACAATTCTGGGGCCTAGGCGGTGCCCTGGGAATACAGCACTAGACAGTCCTGAGGGAACAATGTGAGACTGGCACTGGGCGGGGTGGTGTTTTGTTCGATTGTACACCGGTCGCCGTGCCTAAGAACAGCCTCCAGAGCACCTAACAACAGCAGCTACACAGACCAGGGTCCAGCGCACGGCCAAGTGCTCAATGGATGTTTGCTACATTAATTCGTTCTCACTCTTTGGAAATCTATCTATACAGCCTCATACATACGAGAGTTACTCATGTTTTAATTACTTTACCTTTAAAAGACATTTTCATGCGTGACAGCGAAAGTGACCTCCATTAGTCATTTTAAAGCTATGGCTGACTAGAGGCCCCCGTTTTCCATATTTCCTGATGGGCATGAGAATGACTACTTTATCAAGGTAAATAAGAATCTGGCAACTGTGTGTTTAGAATAGCATAGAATGCCATAATTGAACTTTGGGGGAGAATTGATCTAAGTAATTATTAAAGCACTATCAAAATATCTGAAATGGTATTTTGGCTACGTGTATATATATGTTTTTGTTCTCATGAAATTTTAGGTCAATGGTCCTGATACCTGCAATCTACTTTCAAATGATTACACACACACACACACAGGCTGTAGAGATGAAGGGGTATGAGAAGGAAAGAGTAAGAGAGGCAAAAGAGGCAAAATGGGTGAACCTAGGTAAAGGTATTCCTTTCTATTATTGTTTTCTTTTGTTTTAGAAAAAGAAAATCCGGTATCAAAAATAAGGTCTTAGCACTGAATATTTTTCAAATGCTTTGCAGTACCTCCTGATAATTTTTCATTTACTTTGAGTGTTAATCTATAAAGTAAATATGTATAATACATATTTTCTATCCTTGAAATACTGTATCATTTTTCGTACTTCTAATGAAAATTATTTTTGGTCATTATAATGAAAAAAATAGTTCTAAAACCCATTTCCTAATACTTTATCATCTGTTGGCATTTTGATACCATGATTGTTAACTTTCTAAAATAAATTGGAAATAATTCCACCTTTTTCAATGATTTAAAATAATTTAGAGCAGTGAAATGATTATTCTTTAGAAATTTTGAGAGAATGTGACCATAAAAAAACTACTCAGGCATCCTTTGAGGAAGTAATTATATATATAAAAACACCTTTCATGAGTTAATGATTTTGGTTTCAGGGTTTTCTCTTCTGTGGGGCAAAATTTGGTCCAATTATATTGTAAGAAATGTTCACAAAACATAACATAAAGGAAAGATGTACACATATTTTCTTGTAATCAAAAGGTGATTTTTTTTCCTTGAGATTTTCTGATTTGGGGCTAAAAGTGCAACTGATTAACAACCTGAAGTGTTGAAGATGAGGGAGTGGGGGGCGGAAATCCTATGGATTCTTGAAAAATTGGTTTTAGTTCAGTTTTCTAATAACTCTGACTAGGATTTAATATCTATTTTTCAAGAATAAAACAGACATCAATACCCAGAGAATAGAGGGTAAAAATCACGTGTGTTAATTTGAGCTAGGGAGCAAAGACATCACTACAATTTTTCATTTCAAAATCAGCTATGAAGCTAAAAGCCACGGAAGCATCTATGAAGTGCAGAATATGCAAATTTCACCAACTCAGCTGAGTTATTCATTCGCTCTTTACTCTCAATTGAGTAACACACAAAGAGAGATGTATTATTTTCTCGAAATCATTTTCTCTTGGCCTTTATAGAAGTTTTAAATGTGCTTACTCCATTGTGAAAAATACCAGGACTTTCAACAGGTGTTTTAAAGAACAAATTTTAATGAAGTCACTAACAATAAGATTGAGTGAGCTTCTAAACAAAGGGTGATTCAAACATCTTTGATGATTGACGGTGGGTTTTTCCCTTTATAAAATATTGAACATGCTTTCATCTGACCCTGCCTCAAAACTGCAACACTGGAGGCAGCAAGCGTGCTAGTTAGGGTTGTTATAGCCTTACAATTCTGCTTTCTTGCATCCAGTGAAGTAAGAAGGCAGCCTTAGTTTGGGAAATAGAGGAGCAACAGAATTTTACTGAAATGTCATGAGCCCAGAGATTAAGGTTCTGTACCGAAGAGTGATCCTGACTATCCTACATATAGTCTCATCTGTTCCCGAAATTTAAAAATTTTAACTAGATAAATTTTCATTGAGATCCAAGCCTAAGTTTCCTCAGTACTTCATCCAATTATTGAATTAGTGCGGTATCATTTTATTACTAAAAGTGGTAACAGAAGTACTTAGGGAATCAAGCTCACAGTGAGCTTTAACTGTTATTTATGGTCACTGAATCTGGCATGAGGGCCCTGTTGGTTATGTGGTAGGCTGCTACCTGCAAGGTTGGTGGTTCAAAGCCAGTAGCTGCTCTGGGGAGAGAAAGAAGAGACTTTCTGCTCCTCAAAAGATTTACAGCTTAGAAAACCCTGCAGAGCAGTTCTACTGTGGATGATTTTGGGGGAATCTAGCATTTTATCTTACACTTATTAAAATTTTCTGACTCATAATGGCCTTAAGATTTTTACTTCCATTTTTTCACTTTGGAAGAATGAAATGGATAATTCAGGGCAACAAAAAGAATGAGAAACTTTGGGGTGGAGGTGGTGGTATAAGCTGAAAAGATCATTTTGTAGCTCAAGCAAAGCTCCACATGTTGGACACTTGCGTTCGGGATGACAGCCATCCCAGGGCAGCATTACTCTGGTCATATGCACAGCCGTGAGTGCCTCTTACCTGATACAAAGGGCCATCCTGAGGGCAGACTTGCGAAGCTGAGCAGTTCAGACACCGAAACTGCGGAGGAGATGAACTCATCAGATAAGAGGCATCCACAACTGGACATTTAAAACGGATCATTTAAAATATGATAATGTCAAACATTAAGAGTTAACATGGATTACTTTAAAGTAAACACTTCCAGAGCATATGGTAGTTATCTTTGAAAAAAAAATTTAAGACTTAACTACTAGTGATGGTTAAAATTCAGCTTGAAGTCATTTTAGCACGCAGGAAACCTTCACCCAAATGGTGGCCTACTCTTTTTCCTTCAAAAACTACTGGAGGGTCTCATCTCTGGAGGACAAAGCGAGCACTCTCCCATTTCTTCAATCCTCCCCTGGACCAAGTTCTTTCCTCTCTTTCTACCTTCCCCTTTAAAAGAACACCATCCAAGGAGCTCCGAACTCTTAGTGGGCAGAGAACTCTGCTCACCTATAAGGAGGGGAGGGGTGGGGTACTTTCCCCTTTAGATTAATTTCTTTATATTAATCACATAGAGTCTTAGTCTCTAAGAGTTTCCACTTTATTCATATTTTCAGACTTAAAATAAGCTCAAGCCCAGGATGGCATAGGGCAGCCACTCTGCAAATGTTTCCTGAATACTGCAAGGACCAAACAATTTTTTTTAAACTACAGGGCTGACTCCTTTGTAAAACCATTATTTCCTAATAGCTTAACTATTCACATAAAAAAAAAAATAATTCCAGAATTTGATTTCCAATACTATGTGAAATACTACTTAATTATAAACTCCACTTTAATTGTAAGGGAGATACAAAACATAAGATGTTTACTTTTAAATTTTGCATACAAATGACTTCAAAATGGAAAAAAAGGGAAATACATAAAAAAATATAGGAGGTGCCGATTACACCAGATGAATCTCACATTCCAGAGTTGCTTTTTAAAAGCAAACTTTCACAGCAACTTAAGTAATCAAAAATTAAAATATAGTTGAAGCTTTTAAAATAAAAATTTAGAGTGTTGAGTGCCCTAAAAGACTGACTTTGTACATAGGAATGAAGCCCTGGTTTTCTGCACGGGCTCACTGGTCGACTGACGATGTAAGGCCTGCTCAGCACTGCTGTCCTTTGGCAACCTTGTAGTTTCCTCTGAAGACTCCCAAAGTTCTGGTGTAGACTTTGTTTGATCATGCCAACCTCAGATAACGGTCAGTCAGAGTAAAATGTGGAGGTGGAAAAAGGCAATTTCACCAAGTGATTGCTTTTTCCTATTAATCTCTTAGGTGCCAATCAAGATGGATATGTTTGCTTTCCCTAAATCTGCCTGACAATGCAAGTCAACCAAATCAAGACATGGGGTAGTCACTTTTAGCACGGTCCTGCTACCTCATCTAACAGGCAGTGCTTAGGGAGCTGTGGTGGGCGTGTGTTGGGTTGCTGTAACTGCAAGGTCAGCAGTTTGAAACCACTAGCCTTCTGAGAGAGAAAGATGAACTTTTCTACTCTTGCAAACCTACGGGGACAGGTCACTCTGAGTCAGAATGGACTCAGCAGTGGGCTGTTTTGTTTGTGATTCGGGTGTGAGGGGAGCAAAGTGAAACAGCCGATGAGTTCAGAGGAGCATGGAAGTGATGACTACGGAAGAAACAAACCAGATGGGAGGTGTTTTCAAGGGACTATGGATTTGACTTCAGGAGGGTGGAGAGAAGTCTCAGAGGTTCAATATATACAGCCTTTGCTATCACTGGCTGATTGAAAAAAATCCAAAATCTTATTGGATACTATTTGAAATTTATCCCATGCATTATATTTCCTCTTCATATGCCAATTTATCTCGGTTGGGGGGACTGGAATTTTTACCCCCGTCTCCCTCCATAGTCGCTGTATAAAACTGTGAGCAAAGTTCAGAGCTGATTCTTGAAGTTAAAAAGAGTTTAGAAGTTTATCACTATCATTCTCACTAATGCTTAGTCAATGGCCTACCCAAGGCGCTTTGTATTCACATCGAAGTTTGAGAAGCACCTAAAAAATACATATATAATATTTCCCCCCACTAATAAGTAAAAGATGAATGCCAGTATAAGAATCTCAAGGTGGCAAGATAGTTAGGAACGGAAAACTCTTAAGAGTTGCTAGCTAAAGTATGACCAGATGTTTGCTTAGGTTCCTGAAAAATCTTAGCATGAGTTATGCTAGCTTGGACTTTACCCAAATGTATCTCAAAGAAAGGGGATCATAAAAGGTTATAGACAGGGTATTATGTGATCAGATTTTTACAAAAACTATATATTGTTTCATGCCCTTAGAGGAATAAAGACTGCTTAAAAGAACAAGCTAGGAAATCCAGAATGACACACACAAAAAGCCTGTGGAAAATTAAGTAACATGGACTTGTTTCATGACTCTTTGAAGCCCCCTTGTATATATGTGTACATGTACATAACACATCAATAAAGGGAGGGGGTAACTCAAGACAGGTGAAGTGTGTATTGTTTAGTAAATTGTATTTCTAGATTAAAAAAAAACCTTAGAGTAAGGTAAGAGTTTTAACTTCACTGGGGTATACATGGGCTCATGGAGGGCTGTTCCTGGCAGGGACAGAGAAGGGTGACAAGTTCTGATCTGTTTTCCACAGACTGCTCTGATGCTGTGCAGGGCAGGGGGATGAGGGTGGATGTGGGAAGCCCAGGTCGCAGACTGTGATGGTAATCCTGGATATGGGTGGCGTTGACTTGGATCAAAGGAGGGGGGTGACAAGAGGCTGGATTCTGAATACAGTTCTTTGGATGGAAGAGTCTATAGCATTCGCTAAGAGGAGAGAGAAGGAAAGTAGTAAGGGCTGACTGGAATGTGGAGGAACCAATCTGGGAAGTGCTGAGATTGTGCGGGCAGAGGGAGGAAGCCATGGAGGGGAACAACCAGAAATCATGCTTGTCATGTCTGAGGAATGAAGTGAGTTTGACTAGTTTCCAGTCACACTAAACACTGTTGCCCTTGCTTCATGCTTTAACGTCCTCCTGAATAAGAAACCATAAGGGGCCACAGTGCTTTGGGGACCAACTCAAAAAACATGCCTTTGACAACCAAGGCATTTAGACTACTGAGAAACACCACTGTAGGGAAAGCTGATGTCACTGATGGTCCAGTGATAAAAAAACATCTGCGTCAGCTCGGCTGTGCTTTGACTTTGAATTAATGGGCAGTGTAAGTCACCTTTGGGGCTGGGCCTTGAGGATGTTTTATAGTGGGGGAAGGGGGGAATCATTTACAACCCCTCAAGCAGAAACCAAATCTGCACTAAGTACACCTTGAACTATTAAAAAGCTAAATTAAGCCAATGTGCAGTATCACACTATCCACTCCCCAACAGTGCTGGATAAGACAGCGCTCTTACCAGTCCGGCCATCAGTACATGGCACCCAATAATAATTTACTAAATACAAAGGAAATCGGATTTTAAAAAAAGGAGCCCAGAAGTTTAATGAGCAGTTGAAGAGCACACAGCTAGTTACAGTGAGTGGTGCCAGAATGTAATTTGTTTTTCTTCTTCCAGAATGGAACTCTTCCCAGAAGTGGCTAAAGATTCAGGCTCAGAGGAAGACTTTCTCCAAGTGGGACTCAAATAGAGAAAAAGGAATTCTAATTCAGGAGGGTAGGTACTTCATTTATTATCATATCACCAATGACCTATCTATTCTGTAGCACAAAAATGGATTTCTTGAAGTTTATTTAACAGTCCACAGACTAGTTCAACTCAGTCACCCTTAATACACTTAGAATCTGCATTATCTGTCCTTGTGTGAGGTTAAACATCTTGGTTTCTTTTTTTTCTTATAACTTATGTTTTCATAACCAAATGCCCTAAACCTAGTTTATAGAAGGTATATTAAAAGGATACAGAATGTTTAAAGTGATGATATGGCTGAAAGGGCACCGGGGGATCATCTAAGTCCAGCCTTCCTGTCTATTCTGGCTCGTGTTTACTGATGCACTCAGCTTATAGCAAGAAATTCCAGTAGCATTACGACTATATTCCTTATTCTGACATATCAGCCTCACAATCCCCTAGTAATTTTCTCTAGTATCCATGTGATTCATAAATCAGGTTAAGTATTCTTAGACCCACTAGTTAGCTCTAATCAGAGATATAGCTCAAAATAGGGGTTCTCTCCTTTTAACCGTTGCGCACTGGGCAGCATGTTGACTGCAAGGTCAGAAGCTGCAAACTACCAGCCGCTCCAGGGAGAAAGACGAGGCTTTCCACTCCTGCAGACTCACAGTCCAGAAACCCACAGGGGCAGTTCTACTCTGTCCTATAAGGCTGCTGTGAGTCGGAATACATGGCAGTGAGTTTAAGAATTGAATTCTTCAGCCATCAGAAATTAAGAGACTCACTCACCCTTAGGTCCCATTTTACACAAAGAGGGTCCCCGCAGAAAGAGATGACCTAGCTGCTGGCTAGTTTGTCCTCTCTACCACATCCCAATGATGCTCTTAGGAGCCAGAGCGGACTCAGTCTCCCCTGTCCTTATTTAATTATGTGCAGGTTCACTTATTTTATTGGGTTTTAAAAACATAGGTAGGTTCTATCTTCTGTTTTGAGGCTAGTATTGAATCTATTTTAGATGGGGCTTTAAACTCACCTTCAACATGATAAAACCATTTATCACAGACTCGGACTTGAGCTATTGTTCACAGAGTGGGTGGGAGAAACAGTAACAAGAGGAACCAGTTTCGTCTTTCCCAAGTGAGCTTGCTTTTAAGTTCTACTGTCAGACTTGAGTAGCGTAATGGTATACAGCTAGACAGAAACTTAAGTAAGTGTAAAAACAAAACAATTTACGTTTTCGCCCCTTAGTCGCCATCTTGTCATATAGATGAATTCCATAGTATGATCCTTCCCCATAATTTCACCATTGCACAGCACATCCAGCTTTAAAAGAATAAGTTAAAAACCCATTAACATACGCAATTTTGAATTTTTACATGGGGTAAACTTTTTCAAATTTCAAAAATATTAATAGTCATAACAAAATAGAAATTATCATCCATCACTTATAAAAAGAATATTGTTTGAACATTTCCAGTAATAGAAGTTTTAACAATTCAGGCATAAGTATCATAAAACACTGTATTTGTTCCACATACCTACATCATAACTTCATATGCATCATTTTGAAATGCCATATAGACTCTCCTAGTTCCTATCTCCGTGCAACCTTAGAAACTACAATTTTGACTCATAGAAGCTTTTTTGGCTTATGAATTCATCTCTTTGAATATTGGGAAAGTGAGAACATTCTAAGGGGTTTCTTTCTTCAAGGAGCCTGAGAAGCATGTGAGAATTTCCTATAACCACTGTCAAGTGGATTCCACTCATAAGCTTGCTTGGTGCCACTGAGACAGCTCCAAGTCAATGCGAACTCTCAACAACCCACAGGGCTTCCACGGCTGTGAACCTTTGTAGAAGTGGACAGTCGTATTTTTCTCCTGTGGAGTAGGTGGTGGGTTTGAACCACCAACCTCAGGGCTAGCAGCTACGTACAGAAGAGTTAGGACTGTGCTACAGGCCTGTGTCTGTTAGGTTCGTAACTTGCACAGTATTTATGAGCTCTTCACTCTAAACCAAACAACCCCAGCACTCCTTACAGAAGGCAGGAGGAATGGCAATCATTCGCTAAGCTAGCAAAGCATAGTTTTAAAATGTTTATTGTAGACTCCCAGAAGTCAGCACTATTTCAATACTGTAGCTACTCAAAGCAAACAGAGGATTTAAAGAGTGCAGAGGGGGGGAAGAAGAAAAGATTTTAAATCATTCTGTGTCTGATGAAATAGAGACAAGGGTTTTGAACTCCAAGCCCCAAATGAGTACAATTTTCATTGTATTCTGGACACACTAAGTCAATTCGATGGATTTGTTTGGCTGCTTTATGGTGACTCAGAAGTCATATCTTACTAATTCTTTTTAAAAAAGAACAAAATGTAGATTTCATTTTCTTTACCTGGCCTAAAAAATAATTTCATAAGCCAAAAAAACATTAGTTCTCCAAGATTTCATTAAATCCTCCTCCTACATGTTGGGCACAAAATAAAGATGGAACAACATATACTCCGGAAAAGTCTAGGAAAAGCCCCATGCAGTGGGATAGGTAAGGAGCTATCAGTGAATTAAGTATCTACTTTTCCATAAAGAAATATAACACAGTAATGAGGCCATGCCAGATTAATAGTTCTCTTAGCCCTACCAACTTCCCCAAAACTAGAAAACAGTCACCCAATGAGTTGGACAAAATAACAAGGAAATTAAACCATGCATGGTATTTTGCAAATAGACAATAGACGCCCCAAAACAATTTCATTTTCATTTCTTAAGAACACAGGGATTTGATATTTAACTTCCACTGTTTTTCCTAATATGAAGCGACACTGATGTTCATTGCAGTATTAGTCAAAAGGTGGGAAAAACTACATCTTCATCAACAGATGAATGGACCCATCAGTCAGTTTATTAGTGGTTTCTGGGGGAAGGAGAAGGGTGGTGACAGGTGGACAATATGATGATTGGAATCAATGAACAACACACACAGAAATTGTGAACCTGGAAAATGTTTTGTTTGTATTTGTGTATTCATTAGTTCATCTGAAAGCAGAAGCACATGCTTCTTGAGAACACAGACTTAATACCTGTCCATGTCTTTTAGCATTTTATTTATTTCTCCTTCTATTACTATTGACTATGTATGAGCCAGATAATATATGTGCAGATATATATGCGAGTGTATACTACATGTTTGTGTGTGTGTACGTGTAATACAAACTAGCCCTTTGTTTTCTAGATGGTACTATCAAAATCCAAAGGGGAGTACCAGGAGCATAATGTTAAAGTCATGCCCTTTGGATCATAAATATTCCCTAAATGCTAAATATGTTACAAACTGCACTGTCACCAACATCACAGAAAATTTTTCTGTGCTATAAAGAAACTGGTAAATTGCATTTGTTCATATTCTAAATATCAGTTTTAGCTAGTGATATGTTTGGATATTATGGAACTACGGGATTTGTGAAATCCTTTTTGATAAAAGGCAATTTTTCTACTGTAAATTAAAAAGTCCATGGTAATGAACTCAAGAATGTTCACATAATAATACACACACACAGGCACATACATACTCTCCCTTCTAATTAGAAAACATCAAATGCATTAGTAACTTTTGCTCGGGATATGCTAACATAAAAATAATTCATTAGAATTCTATTTAAGATCAGAATCATCAAGATATTCCAGGTCAGATATTACATAACTTACCTCATAAGAACTTGGAAGCTTTAGTTTTAAACTTAGAAATTTTTTTATAGTTCCCACAGTTACACGTGTAGAGCATCGGATGAATTTCTTCATTAAACCCTAAAGTTAAAAAAAAAAGGTATTAAAATATCCTATTTTTGTATAACCCCATAAACATAATCTACATTTCAAAATATATTCTGGAAATGTTTCAACTTGCAAGTTTTTAGCTCCTGTGGGTAAAAATATTTTTAAGAATGTATTTTCATGTACATTAGGAAAATTCTGGTAAACAGACCAAAAAAATATGCTCCTCCTGGTTGACTCTTTGGTAAAGAACACATCAAGAGTTTCCGTGAAAATAGCAAAAGAAAGGTCATAAAAGGGATATCGAATATTATATGAATGTTATGGCTGAAAGCATTAGGATCACTTTGTAAACCCTTAGCTCATCACTTCTAAATTACGTTAAAAAGGACAGTAATTGCAGATGGAATGATGAAGAGCCTACAACTAAGTCAGCAGTGAGAGACCAGCAACAAAAGAGAACATTCTCAGGACCCTCGACTGGGCAGATTCACATCCACCAAAGGTCCCTTTCGGCTCTTAAGATGATGGCAGCAAAGCCATTTTATCCTTCATGCCTTCAGTTTTAGAAGACCTGAAAAGCCAGAACTGAGATCAGATAGTATCAAAAGTGAGTCAAGCCTCTTTTCTTGTAGGACGCAACTCAGAATTCCTGACTTTTTGAGGCCTTTGTGGTTGTCTATCCCTCCACCAATTAAAAACAAAACACCTAAACCCTTACAGTGCTTTTCTCCTGTTTCCAGAATGGTATGACAGGCACCCACTAGGCAAATGAGTTGTCAAGCTTGATATTTCTCTTAAGATCAAATTCACAATCCATAAATTCGTCACGTAAAGCTCAGTACATTCTAGTATTTTAACAGGTTGTGCAGTCATCATCACTACTTAATTACAGAATATTTTCATCACTCACAAATCCTTTGTCAGATACACATGCAACCATCACGTTTCTGAAGAGTTTAACAGGAGATGAACTTGTCAATGTAGAAGATAGTCCAAGAAGGGCCTTGTAGGCTAAATAATACTATGAGCCAGTAAACTATGGTCATGGCCCTTGGAGCCAAATAAGTACAGTTTTGTTGGAATACCACCCAGGCCCATTGGTTTACTATTGTCTAAGGTGATTTCAGTGCTACCAGAGACTTGCGGATAGCTTCTGTGGAGACCACAATGGTTGCTGACCAATTTGGCAATGATATTGGCATGGCCTCCAACCCTGCCTTACCCAAATTCGGGCTGTGACTCTCTCACTTGAGATAATGAGTGAAATTAAGGGTACAAATTACTCTAAGCATTGTGATGGTTAGATTTTATGTCCACTAGATTGTACCTGTGTGGAGGTAGGGGTAGAGTTCAACCTATCCATGAGGTCTTGGCCTCCTTGGCGGTGGGGAGTTTTCCATGAGAGAGACACTCACTTCTCTCTCTCCGGCTATCTTCCCTTCCTGCTTGCCTGGTTTGCATGTCTAGATCTGCGGTTGACAGCCAATGGCAACCCGTTGCCCCTGGCTGGTGTGCTGTCCTGCCATGTTTCTGAAGACCGGAGATCTACTCCACTCTGCACCCACCAGCCTGTGACCTCCCACTTCACCCACTGGCAGCTGTATGAATCTGAAGCGCACCGGCTAGTATGGGACCCACAGACTTGAGTTGGAATGGGTTGGGACACTTTTTGATATAAATTTCTTTCTTGCTATAAAGCCCAGTCTTATATATATATATAAGGGTCACTGGTTTTGTTTCTCTAGAGAACTCAGCCTAACACAGGTATGAACATAATATATTTGCCACTGGATAAGTAAGTTTAGGTGAAGTTGAAACTCCCAGGTGGGATATTTAAAATATTTATAGATAGAATTCTCCAACTTGGGAGAGATGGCAGGGTTGGAAATGAGCATTTAAGAATCATTTGCAGAGCTGGAGCTCAGAAATGGAAGAGCTCTCCTAGGATGAATACAGAGAAAGAAGTGTTGATTGGAGGCCTGGATATCAGGACACACTCACAGGTATGAAGCAGGGTCAGCAGAGACAACGTGGGAGTGGCCTGTACGAATCCAGGCAGCTCCGTGGAAGCTGTACATGCTAAGAAAGTGGCTTTAAGAATGAGAGGTGGAAGGATGAAGGAAAACAAAGAATGATTCAATGGATAAAAGGTCAACAAGATCGATAAGAGGGGAGGGCCACAGAGGGGTTGTGGTACATTTATGAAGAGATACTCACTCTTGCCATAGAACCAACCTCGGTAAGAGATAACGCCTAATGTGCTAACTAAATGACGACCACTGTCTGAAGAAAGAAGAGCCTCTGAGAGGGGGATTACCGAGACGGGCGGCAATAAGGGAGCAATGCACAGCTGTAAGAGCCACAAGGAAAAGCTTTTCAAAGAGGAGAGGGTGCTCCAGCAGCACATAAAACCCGAGAGATGCCCAGAACGCGCTCACATCTCGAAAGAGCTGCTGCACTTAATTGCACATCCTGCTGAACCAACCTTTTTCAACGAAATCAATTATCGGATGTTTAACAGGGCAAGATATGACAAAATACCAATTTATAAACTATCAAGGGCTCATGAGGGAGGGGAAGAATGAGGACCTAATGTCGGGGGTTTAAGTGGAGAGAAAATGTTTTGAGAATGATGTAGAAATGCGCTTTACACAATTGATGTGCGTATGGCGATAACAGTTGTATGAGCCCCTAATAAAATGTTTAAAATAAAATAAGCCTAAAAAAAAAAGACCTAACCAAGTTCCTTTAGGGATTCTTTTAAACTACTCAGATTTTCACGATGGAGGCCTTGGTGGCCTTGAGGTTATGCACGGGACTGCTAACCACCAGTAACTCTTGAAGAGAAAGACAAGGCTTTCTACTCCTATAAAGTGTTCCTGAGAGAGGGAGGGTGGGGCTCAAAGAGAAAGATGTTCTGAAATTGATAATGGCAATGTATATACAAATGTGTTTGACACTGTAGATGTATGTATGGATTGTCATAAGAGCTGTATGACCCCCATAGGGCAGGTCGACCCTGTCCTACATGATTCCTATGAGTTAGAATTCACTTGAGGGCAGTAAGAGAGTTTAACTGCTTAATAGCCACACGGTGAATCACTGTGTTCCTATGTCCTTTTTGTTTCAAGATGCTGGGACAAGTGATATAATTAAATGTACTAGTGAAAAAAATCAACCCACTAGCATACAAGTTATACAGAGAAAATAAAAGAGAAACAATGTTTTCCACAGCTGCTACTTGGTAGAACAAACTGACCAGTCTAATAGTGAAAGTAGTGAACATTTATACAGTAATTGCAACAAAATGAGACAGGGAACATGACTTAAAATAGCACCATGGAAAAACAAAGTAAAACCACTAAAGGCGAGTATGGTATTTTGAACTCTCCAATAGAGGTCCTTTAAAGAAAGTCCCTGGTGGGTAAGAGGCTAAGTGTCAGTGGTTTGAGCACACTTGCCCCTCTGTGGGAGAAAAGCGAGCAGTCTGCTTCCGTCGAGGTTCCCAGCCATGGACACCCAGGGGTCGTTTTACTCCGTCCTACAGGGTCATTAAGACGGGATTGAGTCGATGTTTTGTTTGTTTTTCCCCACTACCACAGGATACAGGTTTAGAAAGGGAGATGCTGTAGGATATAGCTCACTGAACACACGGACTTCAAAAATCACGGGAACTTGTGCCATCTAGTTTTACTTCATAAGCAATTCGATTATATTACTTAGAATGAACTGGCAATGGCATGGACTTTTTGTTATTGTTTTTTAAAATAAATTGTCAGCTGCTCCTCAGGCCACACGGGAAAGGGTAAAGGAGAACGCATGAATAAAGAGGGATAAAGAGTCAGAAACCACACATGCCGAAGAGGAAGAAAGAGCAGTGGGAGACTCAACAATAGCCACTAGGTGGTGCCATTGGCCTGGTCGGCTCAATTGTGGCGGTAAGGAAAAACCAGGTGTGCAAATGCAAATATGTTGCCATTCATTGGTGAATAACTTCTAAGTTAAATGTTTATAGCTTTAGGGTGTCAGAGTGACTGTGACTATTTGATCGTGTTAGCATTTTTAAGAGCTATCACCACTAAGAAAACTCATCGGTAAAAGATCATGAAATGACTAGAAAACACTTGTTCACCCACCTTGACTACATTGTCCCCTGATTGTCCATTGTTACGTAAACAATCTAGGCATATGGCAATCTGGGGGTCGCTTCTGTGGTAATCTTTATCGTCTTGGTTTTCATCACCTTCTTCATCTCCTTTAGGTTTGTCAGCTTTGGAAGGATCATCTGCATAATTAAAGCAAAGCTGGGTTACATAGCATTCAGAGTTGACCTTAAGGTTAAACCACAAACTATTAATCAAGAAAAATTTAATTTAAAATATGTCCTACCACTTTTTGAAGAATAGCATCTTTTAATACTTTTAGAATGTTCCAACCAACTCAATGCACCTGGATTATTTTTTTAAAGTAAGTGACTTACTAACATAGCCTATAATTTCTCATCTCACTGGGGCACCTAAGTTAAGAGAGGCAGGACGCGCTATACTGTGTCACCAAAGTGCCACTCTGGTAACAAGGCGCAACTGACCACCTTAGAGAGCAGACCGAATATAAAGACAGAGTCAAGCCCAATGACTGCAAATTACAACACATTTTCTCTAAATTCTCCAAATTTTAAATTATTGGACAATCAAATCAGGTAGTAAAAGGAGTAGAATGATTTCAATATGTGGATATTAAGAAACTCCATTAAAGAAATCTGAACAATATACTCTGCATTTTATACAAATGCATTTGACCCATTAAACACCTGAAGCCTACATTTAAGTGTATTTGCTGAGTGTCTTTAATAGTATGTTACATAGGATAGGTCCTTTTAACAAGTAGTTAAAAAACTGGCGCTATACCCTCTGCACAATTTTAAAGCACTAGTTTAAATTGGGTAAAGTAATCCTGCAGATAAGCCATTTTGGGGCCAGGCTTAGCGTCTTTAGCCATTTTGTTGTTATAGATCAAAAACAGTACCTAATTCCAGTCACTCAAACCTCCCCTGTTATAGGTAGTAATAGAGTTCTGAATGAATAAATCCATAACCCCCATTTTACAGATTAAAAAGGAGAGAGATAACATTAACCTTGATGACACAGAACCTACTATAATGAACTATCTTATCATCGTGAGGCACCCTGCTGGAATGCCACAAGGTCAGGGATTCAAGCCCACCCGCCATTCTGTGGGCGAAAGCTGAGACTATCAGACATATAGTCTTGGGCATCCTATGGTGCAGGTCACTAGGAGTTGTAATGAACTCAGTGGCATGAGGCTTGGCCAGGTTTTGCTATGATCTTATGGGAAAACCAGAGTCGGGAACTGAGCCCTCCAGTGAGCCTATAAAACACATGTATTCCTTTAAGCAAGTTCAATGCTTTTTGAAAATGTCATCCTTAATTAAATGTGTTAAAACAACAACTGGAAAGGATACTGCTTCATTACAATTTTTGATTCACTGTACTTTCCCCCTCATTTGCGTCGATAAGAAACATTGTCTTTTATGGGCTCAGTAAATAATATCTACACTCAGAAATCATTAAAAATTCTTGAGTCTCCTGGGAGCCAAAAGAGGAATTTGGATGTTTGGCATAAGTGATGGGAAACAATTCTCAAAGGTGCCTGGACAGAAAGTACTCTGGACTTCAGAGTACGCAAGCTCATGAAGTCTGAGCCCCTTTGAGCACACCATTCTATAGCATCAGGGGATAGAAAACCTCCGGCCTGGCTGTCAGCCACTTCCCAGTTCCCTCTCTCATTAAAGCAAACATAACAAATCAAACCAATCTTGGGGTGTAGTTGTAAGCTGTGGGGCTCCTTGAGCTCTCAGCTATAATCACCTTGGTGTCAGTCTCCTGTGTGAGCCCCCTTTCCCTTCCCAAAGCCCAGCTTCCTCTGTTTCCAATCACTCCCACATGCTGTTGTGGGGAGATGCCACCTCCTGGATTCCAAGTCCCCGGGACCAGGTGACCAAGAGAACTGCACTCAGAGAGTTTTCTGGCAGTGCGCTCGCTTGCTCGATGGGTTCAAATGACCACCCTTTGGGGTTGACAGCTCAATGCTTACCCGCTGTTCCCTCAGAGCTCCTTCAGATCTACACACATTTGTGTGAAAATCTCAGTGAGAGAAACGTTTATGATGGAAATAAAGGGGCACGTGGATTTTGTGGGGGGCAAACCTGAGCTCAGTCAGGGATGCTAGCTCGCCAAAGCTGCAAAAAGCCGGTTACTGTTTTTGCTGTTAGATACAGGCGTAAGACAAAGTCACCTTGTCCATTTTCTTGAGGCTTATTTTTCTTCCAAAATTCAGATTCACGCTCAAGTTCTTCTAATGTAAAAGAAAAAAAAAAACCCAGAGAAACAATCAGGAACTCTTCAAGAGCAAGGTTGATTTTGCAAAATGCAAACATCTACAAGAAGCTGTAATGCAACTTACGTTCTCGTAGTCCAGGGACCAGCTTAAATATAATTTCTTCTAACGTGTTGTCCAACCTTTCAGAGAATGAGAAGACATACTAACAGTAAAGATGTCAAGAGTTTATACGCAAACAGTTTGAGATCTGCCTCACAAATGCATGCATTCAAAATGTAGGACAGACACAATGCTGGCATTTCTACGAGACCATACACCTCTGCACACAGAGCATTACTATTTCTCACCTCCCTCCAGTGGGAGACTGATTAACCAATCCCTTCCTCTTCTGTATCTAGATCCTTCATTGATGGGCCCAGTCTCAGCCACACTCTTTACCACGTGACTTTAAAATCCCATCCATTAAGGGAAGACATTTCAAGAACAGGCCTTGCAACTGGCTTAAGTCAATAGACTATAGCAGATGTGGCAGGGTTCTTTGTTCTGAACATCACATACTTTAGTACACAGGTGCCCTCACCCTCTCTCTCTTAGAACCCTGCTACTGTGAGAAGCCAACAAGTGAGGAGGAGGAAACACCATGTCCAGGAGAGGCCAGCTGCCCTGCAGAGGCCACATCAAACCAGTCCACAAATAGCCCACACCCAACATATTAAAGGGGCCCTGGTAGAGTAGTGGGTTGCATAGTGGGTTGCTAACAACAAGGTCAGGAGTTCAAAACCACCAACTGCTCCCTGGGTGAAAGAGGAAGCTTTTTATTCCTGTAAAGAGTTAACAGTCTCGGAAAACCCCAGGGGCAATTCTACTCCATGCATCCTATTGGTCACTATGAGCTGGAAATGACTTGATGGCAACGAGTTTGGCTTTTTAAATATATCAAAGAGCCAGGCCAAGATCAAGATCAACTGAACAATTGTTCCTGCTGGCTGCTAACTGCAGGTGCATAAAAGAAACACAACCAAGGGCTAGAAGAGCCACCCAATTGACCCACAGATTTGTGGGGAAAAATAAATATGTACTGTTTCAAGCACTATGTTTATGTGTAGTCAGTTGACTTATACTGCGTTTGAGTAGTGACAAACTACATCTATTGTGTTGTAGGGATTTTTTTTTTGGTATATCTTCCTTATTGTTAGGATACACATGACATACACTTTTAGAAAGCGAAATTTGCTAATGTAACATCCTCAGATGTTCCCTCGCAGATGTTTATATGTAATGTTTCCAACTCCCAATGACAAATTGAATTTGTAAAGCTACTGCTAAAAAAAGAAAAGAAAAAAGAAGTATTCAAATTTCATCAGAACCGACTTATGACAAAGTTCTCAGGACAGAACCCTGTCCTAAGGATGGCACCCCCATAGCCTGCAATGCAGTCGCAGCAGCAGCGAAGTGAAAGATCCTCTCTCAAAACACCACAAGGCTGGCTCCTTTCCACACCGGGAACAGCCTCTGGTCCTCCCTGCCCAACATGGAGCCACTCTACTTCCTGGGGGAAAATACAAATATTTATCAGGCCATTTCCCGGGTTTTCCTTTCCTATATTAAATTGAAACTCTTCCTTTTCCTTGATAATCTTGTTATGCTTTGAGTTACTCTGGCTTCCACACCCCTCTCTTCACTGCTTTCATGCTCTTGCTCTGCTCCACAGCAGTGCTCTCGTCTGAAAACCACAAACATGCTTAGTGCTTTGACAGGCCTCCCAAACCTGAAAATCCATACTTAACTCACTGCACCCCACGGAGAGCTCCTTCCTCAGGACTCTCCTACCAGTGCCCTCCACTGCATCCCACTTCTCCACTCTCCTGCCCACGCGTGTCCTGTCCTCATGCCTGTGGCTGCAGATGCGCCCCTCTCACCTTTTCAAGAACATTACTCCAATAATCCCCTCAAGCGATTGCTCAATCTTTCCTTCCAACTGGAAAAATTCTAAAACCATCGTTAGTACTATTTCAGTTACAAACTTTCTTTCTTGTACTCTGTAGATCTTTCAGTGTCATCCATAACTTCTGCACTCAGTAAGTTTTAAAAATTCCTTTTCAAAATTTTAAAACTATTTGAAATTAAAAATATATATATTTTAAAAACACATTTTCCCCTGCACTGCTTTGCAGCAGTTTTAAAAGAGTTGTCCAACGATGTCTCCATGAAACATTCCTCTCCTAGCTCTCCTTTTCCTGTCTGTCCCTGCCTTCCCATCCAGCCACCTCTAGATTGGAGGATTCCCCGAATTATGGACTCCCCACTCTTTGACCTTTCTACGTATTTTCTTCCTTGAGAAGCTCATTCACAGTTGTGGCTTAATAACTAACATATAAGCAAATACTTTGGGTCTAGATCCATGCTACATTTCTCTACTGAGCTTGTTTCATATTTCCAATAGATGCTGAACATCCCAAGCACCTCCTTTTGTTTATCTATGTTAAGACGGTCACATCTACTTTCAACAAAATACTCTCATTTTAATCACTTTTTAAAAGTTCATTTATAATGGGTGCATAAGCAAATGGAGTGAAGAAAGCAGATGGTGCCCAGCTATCAAAAGATATAGCATCTGGGGTCTTAAAGGCTTGAAGGTAAGCAAGCAGACATCTAGCTCAGAAGCAACAAAGCCCACATGGAAGAAGCACCAGGTGTCGATGGGATCAGGGATCAAAGACCCTGAAGAAAAAAATCATATCAATGTGAATGTGGGGGAGCACGGAGTGGAGACCCAAAGCCCATCTGTAGACAACTGGACATTCCCTCACAGAAGGGTCACAAGGAAGAGATGAGCCAGTCAGGGTGCAGTATAACATCAACGAAACATACAACTCTCCTCTAGTTCTTCAATGGTTCCTCTCCCCACCACTATCATCACCCCAATTCTACCTTACAAATCCGGCTAGACCAGAGCATGAACACAGATATACAGATAAGAGCTGGAAATACAGGGAATCCAGGACACATAAACCCCTCAGGACCAATAACGAGAGTAGCGCTATCAGGAGGGTAGGGTGAAGGTGGGGGGAGAAAGGGGGAACCAATCACAATGACCTACATATAACTCCCTCCCAGGGGGACAGACAACAGAAAGTGGGTAAAGGGAGACGCGGTCAGTGTAAGACATGGAAAAAAAAAATTATCAAGGGTTCGGGAGGAAGGGAGAGAAGGAAATGAGCTGATACCAAGGGCTCCAGTAGAAAGAAAATGTTATGAAAATGATGGCAACATATGTACAAATGTGCTTGACACAATGGATGCATGTATGGATTGTGATAAGAGCTGTAAGAGCCTCCGATAAAATTATTTTTAAAATTAATTTTTAAATGATGCTACAGCTCTCCCTAATATGCTCAATTTGTCATATTACCTTACCTCTCCCTTAATTTACACATCTCCTCACCAGTCCCCACTGTTAGCTTCTTCTCAATGTTTTTGCCACCACTTCTCCCTCAGTCTGCTCTCTCGGTTCCTGTGTGCTGCACTCTCCCCACATACCTGCTGCTGCAGACACTCCTCTGTAAAGCCAATCTCTCTTTAGCACTGACAGGTCCCACTCCCCTCCACCTCTCTGCCACAATAACTTTTGCTCTCGCTAGAATCATTCCCTACAAATATATTATTCCTCCCCTAGCAAATCAAGTCAAAACAAAAAATGTCTTGACATGACAACCCTTCCTCAGCTAATAGTTCTCGTTTCACTTCTCTATTTCCATTTGTTGCAAAACACCTAGAAAGAGGTGTCTGTACCCACTGTTTCTAATTCTTTATCCATCCCTTCGCTCTCGAAACAATCCAATTAAGCTTTGCTTTGTAGCTCTATTTCAAGTGCCCTCTCGTCAGCGTCCATAGTCTCCTTGTTACTAATTCCAACACCACATCTCAGTCTCCACCTTACTTGACCCGTAAAGCAACCTCTTACACAGTTGAATACTTCCCTCTTCTTTGGTACATTTTCCTTACTTGGTTTAACACACCACCACACTGGTTACAGCTCAGTTTCCTTTGAAAGTTCTTACTGCTCCCGGGCCTCTGAAACGTGGGCCACACTCCAGAGTTCGATCTGCGGTCCTTGCTCTTCATCGAGCATGAATTGTATGTCTCAGCTCGACTCTTTCTATAATGCTGGAAATTATACCACCGATACTTCAAATGCCAGTAGGGTCAGTCGTGGTGGACAGATTTCCATGGAACATCCAGACTGTGACAGACTAGAGAGGAAGCTCTGGCGATCAATTTTTTAAAAATAGCTGATGAAAACCCCGTGTGTCACCTCAGAGCACTGTACTCGAAACCCCTCTGGGTTTAAAACTACTGAACCACTGGCTGCAACAGTGGACTTGCACACACCAGTGATTGTGAAAACGGTGCCAGCCTGGGCATTCTGCTGTACACGGGTCACCACAGATGGTGCTGACCTACAGCAACGACATATCCCGAATGTTGCCAAATGGTGATCTCCACCCAGACCTCTGCTCGTGAAGCCCGGACGTGTAGATCTATTCACCTGCTAATACCTTTCTACCTTTTCTGATATGCCAACTAGACAGCTCATAATCAACATGTCCCACCAGAACTCCTGATCTACCCCTCCCCTCAAACCTAACCTTCCCTATCTCAGTCAATAGCACTCTTCCACCTGCTGATGTCCAAAAACTGGGGTCATGCTTGACTTTTTATTTTATCTCACACCCCACATACAAACCATAAGCAAATCTTGGCTCTACTTTAAAAATTTACATGCAGAACAATGCCACTGCTAGCCCTTTCTACTGCTACTCTCTCTCAATTGGGTCACTGAAATTGCCTTCTACCTTTGTGCTTCTAGACAATGTAGCCTTAACACAGTTGCCTAAACGATCTTTTCAAAACTAAGTCAGATCAAGTCAATATTTAACCAAAGCCCTGTAATGACTCCCAATTTCACTTGAAAGGAAAAGTATTTACAGGGGTTTATAAGGCCCTTGATAGGCTGTACCCCTTTTATCTCTGATAACACCCATGACTTGCTCTCTACCTCACTGCTCCCCCGTACTGACTTCCCACCGTTCTTCACATCATGCATGGCTTCTGTCTTCATGAAATCTCACCTTGTCAGAGAGGCCAATCTCATCCTCTTATTTAAAATCACCATCTGTCCCGACCGTCACACTCCTGTGATACTTTCCCTTCCTAACATACTGCATAACTTATTTATGATATGGTTTACTGTCTGTCTCCCTTGACAGAAATCTTAGCTCTGTGAGAGCAAAGATCTTTATCTGCTCTTCCATCAGTGGTTATTAAGCACCCAAAATTGTGCTACAGTATTGGGCAGCAATTAAATATTGGTGGAGTAGGGTTCTCCATCTACCTTCCATCATCCATTTCAATGATTTCCCATGGAAATGTAACAATGGCCAAATGCACACTTTTAAATGCAGCCGCTTTAACAAAAATGTTTATGCAAAAATTAATCCTAAAAATGTCTTGTTTATATATTAAGTTATATGTAAAAGAAATGCCTTAAAATGAAATCCACAAAATCTACAAAACCAATGCTAAGTGAGTCAAAATACCAACAAAAAGGATGTAATAAAAATTGAGCCTAAAAATATCTTTAAACATTATAACTAAAATATAACTATATTTTAGTCATATAAATAAAGGCTAATAAAATAAAATAAAAAGCAAAATAAATTAAGAGCCTACAGAATTCAAATTATATGACGGATAAAGGACACTCACCGCAACATTTCCAATGGATTTGTTTCATGAACTTGGTTGCCACACCGTGGACAGTCATTACTGTCTTCAAAGTGCTGGACAATACACGTCTTACAAACTAAGGAGAAAAGAGAGGCAAGGTAAAAATGCATCATTTGAACTCTTTTTAAATTTAAGCTAAATAGGAAAGGGGGTACCCTCCAAAATGGAAATTTTTTTCAAAGCTATGTATTTAATTTTTTTTTAACAAAACAACCTTATCACCTTAAAAGTACTCTCCATTACACTTAATACATTTGTCAAATCTGCAATTCGATTCTTGGAGACATTTTTCAAACTCATCTGTTTGGATGACTGACAGCACCTCCCTCGGTTTTTCTTCACCTCTTCTACGCTGTCAAATCGCTGTCCTTTCATGTCTCTCTTTATTCACAGAAACAAAAAGAAGTCGCATGGAGCAAGGTCAGGTGAGTGGGACAAGAGAGGTACCCTGCTTTTTTTTGCCAAAAACAGGCGTACTGAGATGGTTGCATAAACCAGGTACATTATCATGGTGGTAAAACCAGTCCCGTCTGCCACAAATCAGGCCTTTTTGTCATACACTGTTAAGGGTGCAATCTTTCAGAACCTCTAAATAGAAAGCTTGATTAATAATCTGACCTACTGGCCCCATCACTGATGGCATGCAGCACAGCAGCACAGGGAGCAGAGTGATGAAATTCCTGGGGAATACTAAAAATAGACTTTGGAGACAGAGTGTGGCAACCCATCAGACTCCACTGGAAAACACTTGTAAAGGCCTACAAACAGAGCTTGAACTATTTATAGGCTTTTACATTTTTGTCAGTGACTTTCTTTTTGTTATTGTTATTTTGTTTTTGTTGCTGTTATAGTTTTGTTGGTTTTGACTTCCTTTGTTGTTTTATTTGGCTTTGCCTAGTTTTTGCACTTATTAATGTATCCATATGTCTATCTAGATAAGATAGGTGGAATAAATAATTCAGAGATGAAAAGAATGGGATCAATGATTCCGGGAGAATATGGGAGAAAGGGAGGTGGGAGAAAGGAAGGGGAATGGGGGACCAACCCAGGGACATTGGAACAACAAGTGAACTAAAATCAATGGAAGGAAAGTCATAAGATGCCTAGTGGGGTTTAATCAAGGGCAATGTAGCAGGGAGGAATTACTAAACCCAAATGAAGGCCAAACATGATGGAGGGACAAGAGGAAAGTAAAAGGAAATAGAGGAAAGAACCAGGAGGCAAAGGACAATTATAGAGGCCTAAATACAAGTATGCACGTAGTAAATATATATTTAATGGGAATAGAACTATGTACTTATATCTATACGTTAAGAATTAAGTTTGCAGATGGACATTTGGGCCTCGACTCAAGTACTCCCTCAACATAAGAACACTTTGTTCTAACAATCCAGCATTCTGTGAGGCTCACCTTCCCAACAGGATTGCTGAAGACAAAATGGGTGCATAAGCAAATGTGGTGAAGAAAGCTGATGGTACCCGGCTATCAAAAGATATAGCATCTGGAGTCTTAAAGGGTTGAAGGTAAATAAGTGGTCATCTAGCTCAGAAGCAACAAAGCCCATATGGAAGAAGCACCCCAGCCTGTGTGATCATGAGGTATCGAAGGGATCAGGCATCAGGCATCTAAGACCCAGAACAAAATCTTACCCAATATGAATGGGAGTGGCGGGCATGGAGTGGAGACCAAATGCCCATCTGTAGAAAATTGGACATCCCCTCATAGAGGGGTCACAGGGAAGGGATGAGCCAGTCAGGGTACAGTATAGCACCAATGAAACACACGTTTCCTCTAGCACTTTGGTGCTTTCTTCACCCCACTATCATGACCTCAATTCTACCTTAAAAATCAGATTAGACCAGAGCATGCACACTGCTACAGATAAGAGCCTGCAACACAGGGAATCCAGGATAGATAAACCCCTCAGGGTCAACAATGAGAGTAGAGATACCAGGAGGATTAGGGGAGGGTGAGGGGAGAAAGGGGGAATCGATCACAAGGATCAACCTAGAATCCCCTCCCAGGGGAATGAATAATGGAGAAGTGGGTGAGGGGCAACGGAGGACGATGAAGAAATGGAAATAATAATCTATAACTTATCAAGGGTTCGTGAGGGAGGGTGGGTGGGGGAGGGAAGGGGAAGAAATGGGGAGCTGATATCAGGGGCTCAAGTGGGAAGAGAATGCTTTGAAACTGATGATGACGACATATGTGCAACTGTGCTTGACACACTGGATGAATGTATGGATTGTGATAAGAGATGTAAGAGCCCCCAATAAAAGTACTTGAAAAAATAATAAATAATCTGACCTGTTGGCACAAACTCCAAATACACTATCCCCCTCACTTAAAAAAAAAAGAGTATCATCTTGATTTTTTATTTCACTTGATGAGCTGATGTTTGCTTTCATGTCTCAACACCAGTAACAGACCTGGGGGGC